AACCACACACTCTCCAAATAAAATAATATTACACATAAACCCAAAAATATTTCTTACTTTTTAACCACACATTCTTTACATCAATAAATATACAAAAACTCATTCTTCAAAAGAATGGGTGACAAACAAGCCATAAAGATGCTCTCAGCATAATGAGAGGGTAGATTCATCTTTAAACTACAAATGCTAGAGATACAAAAATTATATATTTTGCTGAAGTTGCATTCTCTGTAATAACTTTTTACTTTTACTAATGAAAAATAAAGTTAATTTAATATGAATGCATGATGTTTACTTTTATTTAAAAATCAAATTACAATTTCATCCCTGTTTTGTATGAGTTATAAGACATTGATTTAAATAAGTGAAATTGATAGAGATGGCATCGAAATCTTCTTCGTCGAGAAGTTTAAGGAGATGGAACATGGAGGGGTCGTGATTAAAATATTCGTATTTCTCGCTCAGTTTACTTATTTTTATAAAAATGATTTAGCTTAAAAATATAAGAACAAAATAATTAGAATCAAAAAAATATAAAACTAGGGATAAAATCTTGTTTAAAAATAATGAGGGAAACTTTCATAATTAAAAAGTTTAGTTTTACTAATTTCAAATTTAGGACATTAAATTTCAAATTTCAGAGGTTTTTTAAATTTATTTATAAATTAATTAATTAAATATATATTTTATTAATTAAATACATTAAGGTCACAATTCCATATACTTTGGTCACAAATTTCATATAATTAGTCATAAATCAAAAATTTTATATGTCACAAATTATTTTACCTTTACAATTCAAAAATTTTATAGGTCACAATTTGTTTGTCGGTCACAAATTAAAAATTGAAACATCACAAATTATTTTATAGTCACAATTCAAAAATTTTACGTGTCCCAATTTGTTCATCGATTACAAATCAGAAATTTTATAGGCCACAAATTATTTTACGGTCACAATTCAGAAATTCTATAAGTCACAATTTGTTCATCGATCACAAATAAAGAAATTTATATCTCACAATTTGGTCGCAATTGTATACAATTTGATTACAAATTCATTTATCGGTCACAAATTAAATTTTTTTATAAATCACAATTCATTTATTGGTCACAAATCACAAATTTCATAAGTCACAATTTAAATTTTTAGGTCACATATTATTTATTAGTCACAATTTATTGATCACAAGTTATTTTTTAGTCACAGAATATCCAAATTAATGGTCACAATTTTAAATAATTGGTCACAAACCCTCTTAATTCCACTACCTACCCCATTCCACCGGCACCACCACTTCCAACAACCTCCACCACCACCAACAATATCCAACAAAATCGTTGTCATCGTCGTCCAAAAAAACCAACAAATCAAATCCACAACAATAGCCGCACCACCACTGATGGGTGTTGATCAAGACATTCCCTTCTCTTTTCATCTCAGTTCTTAACCGCGGCACTTCTATACTGTAGCTTAACTTCTGGTCGTATAAATTCGGGTCTAGTAGGTCATGGACCGTGTCAAAACTTGAAGCACCATCGGGGTAGCTCTGCA